CTTCGGGCGGCTGGTGTCTGCGTGCGGCCGTAGCATCCTCAGACCGTCGGGGCCCGGAGCGGGTGAGGCCAAGGCCGCGGGTGAAGGGAGGAAGTGGGACCAGCGGTGCTTCCCGCCACCCCGCCGTGTGTGTGTGTGTGTGTGTGTGTGTGTGTGTGTGTGTGTGTGTCCGACCTGATGCTTTCGGTGCTGAGCGCCTTTTTTGGATACCATCGGCTTTGGAGTCGGGGAAACCGAGGTTCAGATCCTGGTTCTTTAGTTAGTAGCTTAACCATTGAGGATGGCTCTCCCACTCCTGTATGGGCCTATGTTAGTGGGGAGCACAGTGAGGGGCAGAGAGGTTAGGCAGCTGCCCAAGGTCACTCGGCAGGGAAGTGGGAGAGGAGCGATTCGGACAGCGCGCTCCCGCTGCAAAACCCGTGCTTTGCCATTACCCAGGGCTGTGAGCCACTCTGTGGGCATCATCGATTTCATCTGGAAAAACGGTGATGAATGCCCTTGCCTAATCTTAACCCATTCAGCAAAAGCGTAGCGGTATGTTAGTCACTGGGTTATGAAGCTCCAAAAAGGTTCTCTTCGGCCTGAAAATGGTTGGAGTGTGTGTTTGCATGCAGGAGTGCTTATGTATGTTTCTAAATTGACCTAAATGTATACAAATCTTAGAGAATTTCGCCTTTTTTAGATGCCATACTTATGTTGTTTTGTTTTTTAAATAATCATCTTTTGCATGTCGACTTGTCTTTGGTGTGTCGACATAAGAAATGTCCAAACCTGTAGAGAATTTTCATTATAACGGGGGGAGGGTCCCTCAGCCCAGCCTGCGCCCCCTGGCAGCTGGGGACCCCTTGCTCCTTATGGCCTGCCTGCAGCTGCTGTGCTTGCCAGCCGCCAGCTGTGAGTCCAGCTTCTGGCTGAGGGGAACTCCCCTTGTGGGAGGGAGTGCACTGACCACCAGGGGGCAGCTCCTGCTCTGAGCATCTGCCCCCTGGTGGTCAGTGCGCATCATAGCGACCAGTTGTTCCGCCATTGGGTCGATTTGCATATTAGGGTTTTGTTATATAGGATTATATAGGATTTGAGCCAAAATGGCAATTGCCAGGCAGCAAGATCTCAACTACTCTGGAGAATAACAGTTTTGCAGTTTCTTTTATGCGTTTGGACTTAAGGAGGAAAGTAAGGAAGATTACATAAAGGTGGGAGAAGGCAAGGCAGGAATTGGGTCATGAGGCTATGTGCTTTTTGGGCGGGGGGTTATGCCTTCGAGGAGTATTACTCCTGTCTTTCAAAGTGTGTGACCTAGAAGAACAGAAACAATGGGCAGGCCTTGCTTAAAACCTTTCCCTAAGGAAGTGATAGGCCTGGGCTGTCATGGTGTGCTACCCACCATAACCTGGCCAGTTGGGAATTTATGATTTACTATAGCACCCCTTTTTCATCCACACATAGAAATATGACATCTTCACAAATAAAACGATGTCTGATTTGCTTTAAACTAATTGCAGAATTGGCAAGAGGCCATGTACATCGAACACGATTAGTCATGAGTTGATATCTGTTGAATCTGGGGAGGGGTAGCTGAGGGCTCAGTGTTGTGCACAGCATTTTCCGTAATAAAACGTGGGTTGAAGTAGGCAGGGAAGTGTTTACACAAGCAGTGGGACTTCCTCTATCCTGCTGACGTAAAACCACCGCTAGAATGCTGTGTTCAATTCCAGACTCAGCTTTTTAAGGGAGAATCACAAAGTGTAGTGAGTACAGAGAAGGTGACCGAAACGGTGAGCAGATGGGACCGTGAAGAGTGAGCGAAGAAAACAGAAAGGAAGGACCAGTCTCAGTCCTCAGAGCCATAACGGGCGGTTCTGTGGAAGACAAGGGACCACTTTTTCCCGGGGTGGGGCGGGGGGGGGTCCAAAGCTAAGCTAAGACCATAGGCAAGAGGTACAGAAACCTTCTAACTGAGCTGAGAACGGTGGGGTGGCTCGCAAGAGAGGCACTGAATTTCCAGTCACAGAATTACAACGGGGGCTTTATTTTATTTATTTATTTGTTTATTTATTTATTTATTTCAGAGAGGAAGGGAGAGGGAGAAAGGGATAGAAACATCAATGATGAGAATCATCAATCGGTCGCCTCCAGCATGCCCCACACTGGGGATTGAGCCCACAACCCGGGCATGTGCCCTGACTGGGAATGGAACCATGACCTCCTGGTTCATAGGTCGACACTCAACCACTGAGCCACACCAGCCGGGCCAAGGGCTTCATTTGAGGACTGGGCAGAGCAGATTTCATTCATCCTTGAGTACCTGTTACGTGTCAAACACTGGTCCCGGGTGGGGATACACCCATAATAAACAGACGACAGCCCTGCTCCTAAGGGGGCTAGCAGCATTCTGTGAGAGGGGTGTGCAGACAGGCTTTTTAAATAAGCAAATGGCAGAGTGTGTTACAAGCTGGTGAGTCTTGGGAGGGAGGGGTTCCGTTTGAACAGGATGGTTGGGAAAGGCCTGTCCACGGAGGTGGCGTTTCAGTGGAGACCCAGAAGAAATGAGGGAATTAGCCTTGTAGGTCCCTGAGGTGGGAGGGGTTCAGGGAAAGAGCAGTCAACACACAGGCCTCTAGGCGGGTGCGTGCCTGGCGTGGTCCGGGAAGAGCAGGGAAGCCAGGGAGGCAGGTGCCAGGGAACAAGGGGAAGCGTGTTGAGATGGGATGGCACTGCCTCCGCCCTGCGGGCCCCGGTGAGGGCTTTTGCCTTTTCTCTAATAAAATGGAAGCTCCTGGAGAGTCTCCACAAAATACTGGGGTGGCCCTGGCCGGGGGGCTCAGCTGTTCCAGCACCTCGGTCTCATGCCATTGGTCACGGACACCAACTCCATATGGGAGACAATGGGGTGAGAATACCCAGAGGCCGGCTCAGCAGGGCCATCCTGAGGCTCCCGCACCTGGCCCAGAACAGGGTCTGAACCTACCGTGCACTTGGGGGTCAGGAGTGGTTAATGGGTGGGTGGTGTGATGAATGGATTGCGATGCTTATGGTAATAACTAGTGACTGCACGTGATGTTCTTTGAGCTTTGTCGACCTCGATTTTCTGTAGACAAGTTGTGATGCGGTTTAAAGCGATACCAGCGACAGCTGTGTGTTTAGTGTCTTCATGGGAGGTTTGCATTTCACGGGAGTAACTGCCCCTGTTTCTCTTATTCCCCAGCCTCCTTGTGGTCCGCTTCTCAAAGGTTCCAGTCGCAGGGCACCGCGCGTCCACAAGGGTAATGTCGACGAGGGTTTGGGTGACTCTTCCTTTCACCATCTTTCTGATGCAAAACTTCAGACGTTTGGGTTTTTAGGAATATTTCTATTTTCTAACTTTTTTGACAGTATTTTCTCAGACCCTTGACATAAATAAATATAGACAGGACGTCACGAGTCCACAGAGCAAGGTGCCCTAGGCCTTCCATCGCGCTAGTTACCAAGGGGAAGTTGTAGCTCCCGCTGGGAGGTTTCTAACCGGAAGGTTGCACCCAGGCATGTTGGGTCAGAACCTCTGGGAGGAACCTGTGGAATTTGAAACAGCAAATTCCGTGTTAAATGTCATACTTAGGAAAGAAACTGCACTGTAAACTACAGAAGGTAGATTTGGCGAAGTCCCCTGGCTGGTGGGTGTACACAGACAAGAGCAGGACAGGGTGGCGGGTATGCGTGGGAAGCCCCCGGCCTGCCTGGCCCTGCTTCCAGGACTCTGCAGCCTGGGCCGGAGCGGGGCCGTCCATCTGAGCTGTGCCTCCTGGTCCGCAGAGTGGATTGTGCGTGTGTAGCTCAGTGGAGTTTTATGAGACTGAGTAAATCCTACATTTAAAGGGAGTGGACAGTGCCTGGTGTACAGTAGAGCACTCACACATCGCAGCCGCCGCCGCACCAGTCTCCGCAGGGGAGGCTCAGCGGGCCGTCTAGGAGGCGCCGGCACTGGGCACAGAGCAGGAGCTGAACCTACAGGCACTTGGTGCTGGGGTTGGAGGCCGAGCCAGAGCCTTCATTTCACTGAGCAGAGAAGGTTCCATTCATCATTCACGAGTGCCTGTCACGGGTCAAACACTGGTCCAGGGTGGGGATACACCCATAATGAACATACAACAGTGTATACCCCTGCTTATGAGGAGCTAGCTGGTATCCCGGTGGAGAGGGTGTGCAGGCCTGACCGGCAGTTGCACACAGCCATGTCTTACGATTTTCTCCTGCCTTTTCACACATGTGACGTGTGTATAAAATGTTTTTCACAGATACGTTCCTAAGACATCCCTGAGTTCACCCCCTTGGCCTGAAGTCGTTCTGCCAGACCCCACCGAGGAGACCAGACACCACGCAGGTAAGGAAGGGGCAGAGGCGGGCAGCACCCTCCCACAGGCAGTCACCTGGCCGTGGAGCCGGGTGTCGGCTCTCCGTGTGCCAGACCCACACAGGGAGCCTCTGCCTCACTGGCCACCGAGCAGCGGACTCGAGAGCCGCTCACTCAGCAGAGACCCCTGTGCACCTGCCATGTTCGAAGCGGTGGCGTTGGGGAGGGAAGGCGCTTGCCCATTTGTCTTCCCGCTGTTGGGAGAAACGTGAGTTTGGGACAGGTTTCTCTCCACACGGAAGAGAAGCTGCGCGACAGCCAGTGGCCGCCGGCCCCGGCCTGGCTGTTGGAGAAGCCGCCAGGGTGTCAGGGGCATGTCACCGCAGCCACCGCTGCCAGGAGGGGGTGTGGGATCTTCAATTTTCCAAAAAAGCTGGAGTCCACCTTAATGCATGGAGTCATTTAGTTGTTTTTTTAAACATATTTTTATTGATTTCAGAGAGGAAGGGAGAGGGAGAGAGAAACAGAAACATCAATGATGAGAGAGAATCATTGATCAGCTGCCTCCTTCCCACCCCCTCACTGAGGATCCAGCCCGCAACCCAGGCATGTGCCCTTGACTGGAATCGAACCTGGGACCTTTCAGTCCAAAGACTGATGCTCGATTCACTGAGCCAAACCAGCCAGGGCTGGAATCCTCTAGTTCTAAACACTGGTTTGGAGACTTAGAGAAAAGTAAGGCGCAGTCTGGGTCCCGGCCCCTTGGCCTCGTTCAGCCTCTGCTGGGACTGTCTCCAGGGCGGGCACTGTGCGGGTTCCGCGCCTGCACCAGCCCGAGGCGAGGCCGGCGGGTCGGGGCTCAGCAGATGCTGCTCAGACAGTAAATGGTCAGAGGACAGAGGGTCGTGACCTGAGCAGAGGCGGTGACCACAGAAGCGGGAAGCAGGCAGCCGTGCAGGAGGCGTGCAGGGTGTCGTTCCCGGTTTCCCTTGTTTGCAGAAAGGCCTGCTCTCCCTTTCAGGGTTTGCACCCTTCCCGGCCCCCAGCTCTTTATTAATAACAATCAGGAACCAAAAAGGGTGTAAGTTTCCACCCAGAGTCTGAGAACCGAGGCAGGCACGCTGTGCGCTCAGGCCAGAGAATGGCGGGAGGCAGGGCGTCCTGGGAAGTGAGCATGGGGAGCTTTATCTATCAGAGCCCATGTGCCCTGCATGCCAAGCTGCTGTGCTCCTGGGATAGCAGGGGACCCCGTGCCCAGGCGCCTGTGCCTGCAGTGGGGAGCACAAGGCTCGGCCACCAGCTATTACCCGCCTTGTGACCACACCACCAGGCGCCCCCTCCTTTACCCCCATCACACCGCTGCAGGAGAGCAGGGGGCGGGTATATAATAAAGTCCCTGGGGCCCGTGTGGAGGCGTAGCTGCTGCCTTTCCCCTGTGGTGATGCCCGTGGCCTCCTCCCCGCAGAGGTCGTGCGGAAGGTGAACGAGCTGATCGCCACGGGCCAGTACGGCCGGCTCTTTGCCGTGGTGCACTTCGCCAGCCACCAGTGGAAGGTGACCGCCGAGGACCTGATTCTGATCGAAAATGAGCTGGACCTTGCGTGTGGAGAGAGGATTCGGTTGGAGAAGGTGAGATTCGGTTTCTTTGTGCATTCGGGGACGCGGTCCTGGAGAGGGTTCCTCAGATCGGGGTGACCACGAGCAAAGCCAGGGGGCGGGAGAGTGAGTGAGTGAGGCGGCGGCTGGCCGGGCAGCGCAGACGGGCCTCGGGAGGTGGCCGAGCTGTGACGGCCCGGCTCGGGGGTCACTCCTCAGCGGAGACGGTCAGCGGTGCCCATTGATTGTCTTGCTGGCTAACATCCCACGGAAAAATACTCCATCACAGATACAATGAAAGTCCCAGTTGCGCATGTAGAGCTTTCCAGCCATGTTTATAGCTTCAGCTAGAACACTCCCCTGCCGTTCGATTTGCCGGCCTCTCTGCTTTGAAACAGCGAGGCCTGTTCCGAGGCCCTTCCCTGGGCACTGGCTCTCCCTGGCCGCTGGGAACTGCCTGCCCGGTCTGTGTATTTAGCTAAGCGTTCCTGCCCTTCGTTACGATTCTCTTTGCTGTGGCCAAAGTGTATTTGGTTTTTGCCTGCTCTGTTCCTACTTATAAAACTACATATAAAACATGAGCGCTCTGTACTAGATCAGCTTCCCAGGGTGTATACGTTACGTCAACATGATGGAATATGACACGTAGGATTTCCTGTATTGATGAAAACTCCTCCGACCTCCCTGGACGTCACAGACCCCATGAAGCAGGGCTCCCCCAGCAGGGATCCTGCAGGCTGAGCCATCCTGTCTCAGGACATGCATGTCGTGTACAGCCCTTGGTCACAGCGGGAATCCCTGCCTCGTGGAAAGGGGGGGTGTCGGGCAGGTCTCCGGTGGCTGGTGAACAAGGTCGTCCTTTGGGGTTGTCAGGTTTTTGCGTATTAACTCTTGCTGAGGCCTCGATCTGAGCACCTGCTTAGCTTGAGCGGGACGGCAGCCACCAGCGAGCGCTCCTCCGCACGGCCTGGACAGGAGCACATTGACTGTGTGTCTCGAGCAGGGGTGGGAACCTTTTCTCTGCCCGGGGCCATTTGCATATTTATAACATCGTTCGAGGGCCATACAATATTATCAACTTTAAAAAATTAGCCGCTCTACTTAGTCAAACATTTAATTACTCACCCCTCATGCCTTGGCCGGGCCAGGCGAAATGATTTCTCAGGCTGTATAAGGCCCCCAGGCCAGACGTTCCCCACCCCGGTCTAGAGTAATGACTTGGGGAGTGGTGTGAAGGTCTCTGAGAAGGCGTTATTTGGGAACATTTCACATTAACAAAACATGATGGAAAGCCCCATTAATGCCGGTTGCTTTTTATATTGTAGGCAATCCAAGAGTCGAGAGCATGTGCTGAAAGTGACTCTAAAACAGTTCGCTATTTGTCACTAATGTACGTTGGCCACCGGTGTTAGAGATGTGCTTTGTCTTTAGACATTTAATTTTAGTACAATTGGATTTTTTTCTCACAAGTAAAGTTTAAGACAGTCTTCCAACGTCCAATAAAAACAGCGCCACTGTTCCCTACCCAAGAGGGCAGCGGCGGCACGGGGTTCTGCTGCAGCAGGTACACCCAAGCCTGAGCCTTCACGTCTTTGCAGTCCTGTGACCAGCCTCAAAGACACGTTGTCTGATGTGCGTGTTTTTCCCTGCATGTTAGACTTCACTAAGGTTTGTTGTTGTTGTTAAATTAAAACACCGTCGTTTTCACAGAGGTTGACACAACTTGGTAAGTGATCACCACATCAGATAATCAGTTTCACCTGTCCTGCATCTGAGTCCCCTGCTGTTTACAGTTTGTTTAAACTAAAGCGATAGTGAGCTAGCAGGTCCCGCCCGCAGCACAGTTTCCAAACCTTACCTTTCCCAGTCCCAGTGCGTCCGGGCCCTCCCTGTTACTCACGGGTAACGCCCTGTTCCACGTCGCAGGTCCTGCTGGTCGGCGCTGACGACTTCACGTTGCTGGGCAAGCCGCTCTTGGGGTAACGTGCTCTCAGATGTGGGGCTCTGCCCAGGGCCGGGCGGTGAGGCTGGGTGGGGGTGTCCATCACTCGAACCATCGCCAAACACAAGAGGCTTATACAGTGGGGCCTTGACTTACGAGTGTCCCGACTAACAAGTTTTTCGAGATACGAGCCGTCTCTCGGCCGATTTTTTGCTTTGAGTTGCGAGCTAAAATTTGGGTTACGAGCCAGCTTCAGATACCCCACCGCTACTTGGCGCAGCGAACGTCACAGTGAACGCCACAACATCACGTGTCTCACTCGTTCACTTTAAGATTTGACATACGAGTAATTTGAGTTACGAGCTCCATCACCGAATGAATTAAACTCGTAAGTCAAGGCCCCACTGTACTTCATGATGGCAGATGCGAGGTGTCTCCAGGGGCAAGACTCCCAGACCAGGTCACTGGGCTGTTACTAACTCGTTCCCACATGGCCCGTAAGACCTGTGGACAGACTGCACTGTCTGTTACGCTTCTTTGTAGCTTTCAAAATGTCTTCAGGGGTCACATCACTTTTATGATCAGCAAAAAAGGAAAGTAAACTTCATTTTCGAAAACCTTACGTAAAGCATCGGCAACGTTGCCAGCTCATTGGGAAGGTCTGTCGTTGTTTATTTCCAGGAAGGATCTTGTTCGTGTAGAAGCCACCGTCATTGAAAAGACAGAATCATGGCCAAAGATCAACATGAAGTTTAAGAAAAGGAAAAACTATAGGAAGAAGAGAAGTAAGTTACAGAAAGCAGAGCTGGCGCCCTGCGGTCCCACCTGCTCTGGGCGTCACCCCGTGGGCCTGACAGGGAGGGGGACTGAGACACAGGCAGGGACCTCCCTGGACATCACAGACCCCATGAAGCAGGGCTCCCCCAGCGGGGATCCTGCAGGCTGAGCCGTCCTGTCTCAGGACATGCATGTCGTGTACAGCCCTTGGTCACAGCGGGAATCCCTGCCTCGTGGAAAGGGGGGGTGTCGGGCAGGTCTCCGGTGGCTGGTGAACAAGGTCAGCGTTGTGGTCAGGCTGTGACCGAGTTCTCTCTCTCCCAGTTATTGTGAGCTCGCAGACTGTCCTCCGCATAAACACCATTGAGATTGCTCCGGGTCTGTGCTGATCGTCGAGCCGGCATTTGCAGAAAAAAAATAAACCCGTTTTCCAGGGAGTCTGTTTCGTGTTCGATGCCGAAGCCCTGTGCCCGTCACCGTCTGGCTTGCGCGCCAGGTCTGAGCACAGCCTCCCTGCATCAGAGGCCGGGAACTGGGGGAGAATCACTGGCATGGCCTCCCCGGGCAGCCTGGTGCTGGTAAAACAAACTGGCGTGCTTGGCCCCCTCCACCCCCCACCGCAGGCACAGGCCCGGGGACCCTTGGGGAGGCGCCACTGGGACCCCGGAGCTGACACCAAGAGACACAACCCAGATCCCACTTCTGCGGAGACGGACAAAAACATGAGCAGATTCCGTCTCAGAATCACGGGAGGAGGGAGGCGGGAGGAAGGACTGCCCCGTGGGGCCGGTGCTTGAGAGCCAGTTCTGAGGAGCAGCAGAGACAGCAGGGCCAGGCAAGGCTTGAACTTGGTCCTGAAAGCAGCGCCGGTCCCAGGAGGGTTGGGCGGTCAGGCAGGCAGCCAACAGGAAAGAAAGGACGGGTCTTGAACCCTGAACCAGAGTGGCCCAGGGAATGGAGCGGAGGACTTTGGGGAGTGAGTGTGGGGAGGAGGGGGCTCTCAGACGCCCAGGCCCTGGCTCTGTGCTTCCTCCAAGACAATAGTTGGGGCTTTCAAGTGGCACAAACCAGAGTAAATCCTTTCTTGGCAAGATCCCTTCAAGAGTCCCTCTGTGAAGTGGAAATCAGAAAGGGAAGACAGCACTGACCCAGGAGGCCTCTCCCCTCTCCTGCTTCTCTATCCCTCTCCCGCACCCTCTTCAGGTACCACTCACCCTGGGAGATGCTGGCCGGGCCAGGCCTTGGGACACTCCCTCCCCAGCAGTACCCTCCGTGGACAGCAGGGGGCGGCAGCCATGCTGTTTCCTGGCTGCAGATGCTGGGCTAGGAGGGTGGTGGGCCCGACCTCAGAAAGTGGATCGCCCGCTGGTGCTGCCAGGAGGGAGTCTGAGCCCCAGCTCCGGATGAATGCCTCCCTCCGAACCCCTAATTCCACACTGCCAGTGACGGCACGAGTCCCCGGAAGGGCTGGAGTGGCTCTTCCCGTGCAGTGCAGACCTCTGGGGGTCCCCGGAGGAGGGGCAGGCAGCCTGCCCAGTGGTGTCACGGAGGCTGATGGCCCAGAGGTTTGTGGGAGAGATGGAGTCACTGGTGTCTCCCGGAACCACAGGAAAATGTGGCTCTGAAAGTGGACAGTGCAGGTCACCTAGGGAGGGCACTGCCCTGCATCATTAAAAGGGAATTAATTAGAGGAAATATTTTAATATTGCTATTTGCCCTTTCTCTATAATAGAAGTATCAGAGATGAAAGAAAGTTAGTAAAATGTATATGAAAATTTCCCTCCTGTCAGAGTCTGGGGCACGCCGTGGGACCCAGAGTCAAGTCCCCGCCCCCCTGTGCATGCCTCGAAATCGCGCAAGACCCAGACCCAGCCGTCCCCACCCCCATCAAGCCCTGCTGGGCAGGGGGTGCAGTCTCAGGTCTCCTGTCAAACCCTGCTGGATGGGGGGGGGGGGGGGGCACAGCCTCAGTGGCTGGAGATGAGCCTGCACACCTGGAGGCTGTGTGCCCTTTGACCCACTTTCTGTGCAGGTGCCTGGCAGCCGGGAGGACCTACAGAGCCCGGCTGCCTGGCCTCCTGTTGAGGGCCACCAGGTGACACACATGTCCCCCTCCGGACCCGGCCAGCCATTCTGAGCCTGCATGTGCGGAGCGGAATTGCAAGGGGAGGGGCGTGCCCTGCACCCAGGCTCCTAATGAACGTCCAGGGCTGGCAGAATCCATCAGGCGTCCCCAGGAATGGCCTCTGAGGACAAAGGTCACTTGGTGGAGGGGTGGTTTTAAGCACAATCACATTGCGTGGGGCTGCCTCGGAGCCAGCGCATCAGAGAGGAAACAGTGAAAGGGAGACCTGCTGGGTTCATGCCCGACGCTCCTGGTCCAGGGGACCTCAGGCCTGGGAAGGCCCAAGTACACTCATGGGCCAGCACAGTGACCATGGTGACGCTTGCTGAGCGTGTCCCATGTGCAGGGCTGGGCCAGGCATGTCACACGTGTTGACTGGTCTAAACCAGCCCTGAGACATAGGTATGTGGGTGAAAAAGGGTTCTCTGGAAAGTAACCTCAGGGTGAGCTGATCGCAAATTCCTGGGCAGGGCATGGTGGGCAGCCACGCCCCGGGCCTGCGCTGCTTCCGTGAAAGGTTGTGAGCCGGCCCTGCCCATTGCTCCTGTGCACCCCGGTAACACACCTCTGAGAGCCAGAAGGAACACCCCAGTCGGCAGGGCCACCCTTGGGGTCCAATCCCAGCTCGCTTTCTCCAGTCTTCCTTCCGCCCCTCCCTAATCTCAGATGCAACACTATACTCTCCAGAGCATGGAGACCTGCGCCCAGATGTCATCAGATTGGCCCGGATGTCTCTTACGTCAGCAAGTACTTGGTTTTTCACACATTTCACACGAGACGAAACCACAGGGGGCCTATCTCAGCCCCGGCTGCACCTCAGAATCGTCCGGAATATCCGTCAGGACAGACCTCATGATGCTGCCATAACAAATAAACCCCTGCTTCTCAGGGGCTTTAACAGAAAGGTTCTATTTCTTGCTCAGGAGAAACCTGTGCAGATTGGACTGTTCTGATCCCAGAACATGTGGGGTGCTGGGAGGTACCGGGTGCCGGGCAGAGGAGCCAGTGTGTGCACGGGAGCTTTTGAAAGTACCAAGGCCGGACCCAGCCAGACCCCAAATTCTGACTCACTGGGTCTGGATGGTTCCCGGGTGATTCTAATCCAGGTGGCCCGGGGTTGACAAGCTCAGATGCAGTCTCCTCCTCACCCAGGGCCAGGGGGCTTCTCGAGGCTGAAGGTTTGGACAGATAAGGAACTAGGGGGACTGTCCAGACCCCTGCATCGTCCCCAGCAGAGCCTGTCTCTGCCAGTGAGGCTGAACCCCCTCCTCCCTCTTTCCTCCCTCTGGGACCCTGAGGAAGTTCATGCCACGTGCCTCAGTTTCCTTATCTGTGAAGTGGGGACTCATGTGCCCACTTTTTCCTGCCCTGGTGGCGGGGTCCATGTTGCCATCGTTGTCATCATCATGGTGGCTGCTAATTGTTAACGGCACACTGACATCTCTTTTTTTTCTCTTTTAGATTATTTTTTTATTGACTTCAGAGAGGAAGGGAGAGGGAGAGATAGAAACATCAATGATGAGAGAGAATCATTGATTGGCTGCCTCCTGCACACCCTCTGCTGGGGATCGAGCCTGCAATTCAGGCATGTGCCCTTGACCGGAATCGAACCCGGGACCCTTGAGTCCACAGGCCGACGCTCTACCCACCTAGCCAAACGAGGGCAATGCTCACTGACATCTCTTGCCTTCCAGAAAATTCTCCTTGCCCTCGCTGGCTTTGCAGTGGTTAGAGTGTCCGCCCACGGACTGAAGGGTCGTAGGTTTGATTCCGGCCAAGGGCACATACCTCAGTTGTAGGCTCCATCCCTTGGCCCTGGTCGGGGTGCATGAGAGAGGCAACACATCAATGTTTCTCCCTCTGTGTGTCTCTCCCCTCCCTTCCACTCTCTCTAAAAAAAACAAAAAAAGTCAATGGAAAAAATATCCTCAGGTGAGGATTAACAACAACAAAAATTTCTCTTCTCCCAGGATGCTCTGATGCATAGAAACAGAAACTCATGACTTCCTCCCTTTTAACGGAAGACGCTACTTAACTGTCAAACCTAAACCTTGACATTAAAATGGACGTCTCATCTGAGAAGGAATGTTACCCTTGAGAAAACTTGCCAAATCCCCGAAAAGAGAACATCTCCTGAAGGCCGGCCTGAGGCTGAATCTGCTTTGCCAGTCCCTCCTGCCCACGCCCGCCTGGCCTGTGCGCATACACACGCTGCCAGACCTCACTGAGCTCACTGCAGGAACGGAGCCGCTGAGGCCTGAAACTCCCCACCACCACCACCCCCCTTGAGTGTCTGAATTGCACCCGAAGGTCCCAGGAGGCTCAGAGGACATCCTGGGCAGTGGGGCTATTTCAGTGACCCGGTGTTAATGAGTTCACCATGCTCGCTCTGCCGGGCTGTGCGGGGTCCCAGGACAGGTGCCCTGGTCCGGAGCCCCAGCTCTGATAGGCAGGTCCGCCTCCTGAGCTCTGGCTTCTGCCTCAGCCAAACGGAGCAAAAGCACTATTGCTTCCTGGGGCACAGCCTGGGGCACAGCCTCGGGCAGCAGCCTCCGCCTGCGGGAGGGCTCGGCGATCCTCCCCAGGGCCCTCCAGGTGGCACCTCGACACATGTGCCGTCCTGTTTTAAAGTGTAGGTTTTCTTACCATGCAGGTGTCGTGAGGCCTACAGGTCAGCAGACAGCTGCCACTGAAATGATGGTTTGTTACTCAGTTCCCAGCGTGGGGCAGGGGCACCAGGGCAGAGGGAGGCGGAGGGAGGCAGAGGGAGGCCGGGACCTGTGGGCAGCGGCCTGGGCTGTGGTTTCCGGGGGAAGGAGCCGGTGAGGCAGGGTGAGCAGGTTTAGGCGTGGCTCGTTTGGATGATTCCAGGGGGCCCTGGGGCATAAGGGATGTCCCTGGTTGTCGATAACCTGCCTGGGTGCTTAGGGCAGGGGACAGTGTCCTGAGGGTGTGGCATGGGAGGTGGTCGGGTTTAGTGCCGGAGGATTGTTTGGAGGCTTGGTCTGCGTTTGAACGCAGGCTCTCAGCAGGCTGTTTACCGTCTATAGAAATTAGCTAATGTGGGCAGGGCCGTCCCTCCACGTCAGCAAGGCCCCGGATGCCAGAGACTCAGAAGACAGAAAGTACGAAGAGGGAGGTGCCCTCGGGCAGCTGGGCAGTGGGGAGAGACACTGCGTGTGTGTCCGAACCCAGATTCCCTCCCCGCCTGACCAGTGCTGGTTGCACAACAAAGCGGAACCTTCGGCGCCTCCATCTCCCCACGCGCCCAGCGGAGTGAACTGCTCCCACGCAGACTTGTTTGAAGCAAGT